TAGCAAAAATCTTCCCAGCCTAAAACTAGTTCCCAGGGTCAGCCAGTAAACACTGAGTGAATTCCACAGGGAGGTGCCAGCCTCATCCTCTTATCTCTTCCCCTCCCTTCCGGAGACGAAAGAGGATGCTTCTCTCCCTGAGTCTGGCCTTCATAATTCCATTCCATCACAGAGGATGAGCAAGGACAGGAGCCGATTCAGACACACATGGATCTGAGAGATCAATCAAAGTGACCTTTATTCCCATTTGCAATGGATTAAAACAAAGAAGTGCTACATTTTGTGTGTATATAAGTGGATGCAAAGGTGAACACCTAAGGAAAAGCTTAATAGTTACATCCTGTAATTATCCAGCCTCTGTCCAAGAGCTATTTAACATTCTTAGTTTGCAAAGGCACATCATTTTTGCCTCCTCCCTTTTCCTACAAATGCTTAATTGCTGGCTTTTGAATGCTAATTTTTCTCCTTCACTAGCCTTCCAGTTCCACTCAGAAGTAAAGTCTTGTACTAACCCAAGGATGAAGGAAAGAAACTAGGTTTCCTCTTCCCTTTTACCCCATGAAATTCTCTGGATTATCCTTACACATGCACACACATGTGCGCACACACACACACACACACACACACACCTGAATTGATTGCAATAATCTATAAATGTTGTAAAACAAGATACTGGTCTATGACGGTAATAAACTTTCACTATCTAGCAGACAAACTAACAAATAATTATCCCCCTTGTAGAGATTCTGAAACAGAATCTACGGCTGTGGCCCCCTTGGACTCCATGGATCCAAGGATTTAAACATACTTCCCAAGGAACTTATTTGGATTTTTACATGTCATAAGATTCTCTCCTACTCTTGGACCTCCAGATTAACATCAGTGAGCCAGAGCAGAAGCCATTAAAATGGGGAGCAGATGCTTTGTGCCATAATACAGAATAACATAACAAGGCCTCTCTTTACTGGGTTCTTGAATGTGTGGACGTGGGTATTTCAAACTACTTGTGCAAACCTTGACATTTCTTTTAGCAGGCGGATACTTTCCTCTTGCTTTCACTTTTTAATTCAAAAGAGCATTCAGCATGTGAGTCTGCTGTTAGAAGGATTGACTTCAGCCTGAAAACATCTGAGATACAGAGAAAGGTCTTCCTATTTCTTCTTGGCTTCTTCTTTGGAAAAGTTATTTTATTGGGCAGTGTTATTGTTACTGTTTATTAATTTTGTTGCTATCCAAATGCACTATTGATCTTGCTGTTCGTCACCGAAGACAAATTCCTTGTGTATATTTTATACTTGGTCATT